TTTTTTATATACAGAAAGGCTTAAAAGCCGATATTTTTGGTTTATTTATTTCCTTTTTGAAAATATTCAATTCTAATTTCAATGAATTTTAAATCATTTATGATCAATAAGAAAAAAATTGTAAGTAATTTAAAAAGAAGTTTAAGCTCCTTAATTATGCTAATATTTATTTAATCAAAAATAATAAAATACAGAAGCAGCATGCACTAGATAGAATGCAACTTCAAATGATGTTTAAATAAGAGCAATAATATTTATCATACTATAAGATTGTTTAAAAATAACAGAGGATGAATGTAAAAAGAACTAAATCTGCTTATTTTTAATGATAAGTAAAATTTTCAGGTTGGTAAACTAATATTTTGATCAGTTGTTATATTTCTGTGGCTGGATTATGTATAGCAAGAACAAATTCGGGCAAAGTTTTTATTGCTGCTTAAACAGCTGCAATATGTGAAGTTATGTCCTTAGATATTGGCAATTAGATTAGTGCAAATTGTGATGAAATGAAAGTAGGATGTTTTAATTTAATCATGCTAAATGAAATATTTGAGTATATAATTACTGTGAATTGCGAAAAAAAGATATTAAATAATCAAACCAAAGCTTAAAGAATTTATTCTTGAATCTTATTATGGATTTAGACATGATAAGATTCTCACCTTATCCATTAATTTACATACATGGAAAATAATTTTTTTATTTCTTTGATTAATGCAGCAGCACTAATAAGAACAGGAAAATGGAATACTTGATGAGAATTCTTTTCTTAGAATAATAAATTAAAATAGACTGAAAGTACAAAATGAGTTATATAAAATTCATAATTAAAATAAAACAAAGGATAAGCCTATATATGAATAAATAAAAAATATAATTCTTATTAATGATTTTGAATGATGGTAGAAATATGATAGAATTAAACTGAAATATTTGAAAATGGGTTTTATGAATAGGAATTAAAATAAAAGATGTAATTAATAGTTAATCTGTAATTATATTAAAATTATTTCAATTACCATGTGCAATATTTCCATTAAAATAAAAAAAATTTTTTAAGTGAAAAGTTATACCATTATTAAAGATTTTGATAATTTTTAATATAAAATGGCAGATCAAATTAAAATAATTAGGAAACTAATAGGGTATAGAAGCATAGTCATCATCCTAATATATATCTGATGGCAATAATTAATTTAATTAAACTTAAGTAACCCATCTTGGATTTAATTTAATCAAACAACCAAGGTAAATTAAATAGGATTTTGAGAATGATAAATAAATTAAAATATTGAGTAATTATAATATTGCAATAATACTTTTTTTAAATAAAACACAAATGTTTAAATAAAAATATTGAAAATTGAAAATAAGAATGATAATAAGATTTTAAATGCTCCTTCTCTTATTTATTAATAATTGTATAAAGGGGTATATGGCAAGAATAAAGTTAGCCTAACTAAACTTTATAAAACGTATTTGTTTAATTAAACCTGTTTAATCGAGAGCAAGATAATTAATTAGTGTCAAAATAGATTCTAAGAAAGTGTCAGAAAGGATAAGCATGTAATATGTAAATACAAAAATTGAGTATTATACAATAGAGAAAGATGATTGAGAGAATGTGATGATAAAAATGGTTAGGAAAGTTATTTAATATGTGATTCAAATTAAGAAATTAAAATTCTTTAATAATAAATCTTAAATTGTAAATATTATTAATTTAATGATGATATATTGGTAGATGATATCATGCGTTATTACATCATTTGTAAAGAAATAATTTTTGAATGATAAAGTAATTGTTAGCAATAGTGGTAATTGGTACACTATCAATTGTACCTTACCTTGACAACACAGATTATAATCCATGGTTTGAAGGTGATACATATATAGTATCAACTGATGGTAAAATGAAAAGAATTAGCAGATTTGATCCAAGCTGGAAACCATAATCTGCATATGAGTAAAAATATAAGTATATAAATCTAGTGATTATCATGAAGAGATATATCAAGAATAGGAAAAATAGCGTAAAGAGAAAATGTCAGATTTTTTGAAGAGTATAGCCAATGTATGTACAAATGGAAAAGATCTTACAAAGATAAGTTTAGAGACATATATGAATGAATTTATAAAGGGTCCTTGCTAACCAACAATATTGGTACCTGGATTGATCGGTACAGCATTATAAGTATTAATAATGAATTTTATAATTTAATAGGTAAAGATTGATTGTGAATAATTATAAACAAAGAGACCAGATATTTTTGAGAATTGTGGTTGGTAAACTTGCAGCGCATCAAAATTTTGGTTAAAGAAACCAAGTGAAGAATATAGAATGTGGATAGGAGCACTAATTGGTCCATTTACGATAGATATGAGAAGTAAGAAGGATAAATGTTTTGGTGATTTTATTGAACTTTATTATGATAAATCTAAGAATGATCCAAGAGATAGATATACAGCAGCACCAGGAATAGAAATAACATGGGTTGGTAATACTCCCAAATCCATTGATAATTAATGTGGAACAACAGCTATCTAAGAGATTGCAACAGATTCTCTTATAAAAGCAGCATCTTGTGCTCCAAAAGGATATAGTGTATTTTCGGATGCACTTAAAAATATGGGTTATATTCCAGGATTAACAATGCAAGCAGTTCCTTATGATTTTAGAAAATCTATAGCAGCCTCTGAATCATAATAATACATTAAAAAATCAGTTGAAACATTTTATAGATTGACAGGAAAGAAAACTTATATTTTTGGGCATTCTTTGGGTACACTTCATTCAATAGAAGCAGTTTATAATATGAGTTAAGAATAAAAAGATAAAGTTGCTGGAATAGTTACAATAGCTGGACCTTTATTAGGAGCAACAAAAACATTAAAACCATAAATAGGTGGAGATGATAGTTTTATGTTTAAAGCATTAGATGGGGGTATAAATTGGTACGCTCAAAGAAAAATGTCTCGTACTTCTGCAAGTATAGTGGATTTATATCCAAAAGATACATTCATAAGATTTAGAGATGAACCATGGATGAAAGAAATTCTTGATAGAATGGAATGGGATAAAGAATTTATTTCAACAGGTAAAAGACCATCAAGACCAAATCCTTTATCTTGGTTTCCAGAACCTAGTGATGAAGTATGTGGTGCTGATTTTGCAGATAGATCTAATCATTGTTAATTATTAATACATGATATGAGTGAACATTTTTTAAAAGTAGTTAATAAACTATATTATTCTACTGATGAATCCACTCGAGAAGCTATTAATGACAATATCAATTCTGATGAAGCAAAATAAATATTAGATTATTTTGATGAAACTGCCAGACCTAAAGCTAATAATGTAGATCATCCAGGAGTTCCTATGGTTATCGTTTACGCTGCTCATGAAAAGACTCCATTCTAATTTAAATATAACAAACAACCATAACCTATTGTTGATTCTACAGAAGATTTCTATTTCCCAGATCATATCAGCAAAGCTAATGGAGATGGGACAGTTCTTGCTTCCTCATCTATGACTCCAGGTATCAAATGGATTTATGAACATCAACACGGATTAACCAGTAACCCAACAAAATTAGTTGAATATTGTTCACAATATAATGGAGATACTATCTCATCCATCTATGATTCTTAAGATGCTCAAGGATAAAAGTTATTCACACAATCAAGATATTTAGGTCTTACTTGCTCATGCAAATTTGGATAAACTGTATTCTTATTTTATTTATATCAAGGCTATTGAACATTGTGGACATGCTTGCATGATATAAGATAACTTGTTCATTGAATTTGCTGCTGATGTTTTAATGACTCACTGGGAATCTACCATCTCTTCAACACCTGCTACTGAAGTTGAACTTAAAAATATTCATGAGGGATGTACCAATTTACATTGATTCTAACATTCCTATTTTACAAATCAAACACCAAAATTAGATTATTATTCAATTCTGACAATTTTTCTATTTTTTTATGAGCTAAACTATCCTACTTATCCTTTTATGTAATACCTATCATATTATTACTCGTATAAATCTTCCATATCTATTTATTATTATCATAAATTATTATTGTATCTTAATAAATAATTAGGTTCTATCTCTTTTATTAAAATAAAATCCAATTAAACTAAATAAAAATAAAATCTAAACAAGTTTTAATTCCTCTGGGAATAGATCCCAGATCAGTTTAAGCAGTAATCCAAGCAACACCAGGAACATTTTTTGAATCCTAGAAAAGCAGGAAGCAAAAATATAAGAATGCAGCTTTAGCACATCCAAATGCAAGTGCAGAAAAAGCAACATTTAGTACAAATCAGGTAGTTAAATAATTTAATTATTCTTATTATTAATAGATATTTAATGATGGTTGGTGCTTGTACACAGTTTGATTTAAAGATGGCTACTATTAATTTACAACTTCTTTCTTGTTTTCTTCTTTTGGTGTATTTAAATTAGGTTCAAATTGTTATTCAATCAGTGCTATTGTTAACTACTAGTCATTCAATTTAAGTTAATTTATCTTATTTTTTTCATATTCCTCAATCATTTATTTTTTAATATCTGCAGAAGAAGCCCTTAACAAGAAGAAGGCTTTTATAAGATTAATTATAAATAAAGAGACAGCTGCTAAATATACTCGAGCATATAAAGGTAAATGATCTCTTCCAACCAAAGAATCTGCATAAATATCTCCAAATATATCTCCAATATCAGGTGGTGCAAAGTATTATTTTTTTATCTATAACCTAATAATTCAAACCAAGCTGTTGATTATGAGATACCATTTTTAATTATAAAATATTAGGTACAAATCATTTTTTTTTGAATCTCAATCATTACACCAAATATTGTGAAAATTGCACTTGTAATAACACTTGTAATAAAAGATCCTGATAGAATAAATATTCTCAAGTTCATTCTGTCTCCAAATTGTCCTAAACTAAAATAAGCAATCATTATACCAAGAAATGGGCAACCCATAAAAAAAGCAAAATTTATATAACCTAAATATCCAGATGTAAAATAATCTTACTTCACCATGTCACCTGCTAACATAACTCCAAGTAGATTGAGTGCAATGAATAAATACGTATTAGAAAAAACATTGGATAAATGTTAGGATTCTCTAAGTTATGACTCCAAGTATTGATGACGCAAACATAATTCTGAATTTATATTAATAATTATTCTATATTGATGAATATATCATGTTGTATATAGATTTTTGATGGATTCTAAGCAGATTCTCATTCTTTTTAATGTTTTTATCTGAATGTGCTTGTCAAATAATAGTTATTCAAATAGAATCTATTTTTGTTAAAATATGAGGAACAATATTTAAATATGATGACATATTATTGTATATTATTGATGCTTTCATTTTAGGAATAAATAATTAGAATCGCTAATAAAATTGTAACAGAATTTCTGATATAATGTGATTTTGTGATTTGCTTTCATTATACTTTTTACATATATATATCACTATCTTTAATTTTATTTTTAACAGAAAAATAAAAAAATGTATAAATAATTAAATGTAATATAATAAATTAATTTTGAAACATTAGATAGATAAAAAAGGAAACTGAATTGATAAAAATTTATATATATTGATGCAGAATAAAAATTATTAAAGAAGTTGATTCCTTTTTGACTGAAATAATTGATATAAAAGAAAGACAACTATAAAAAGAAAGACTGACTTAATTAATTATATCATTATAATCTTTGAACTTATTATCATTAAATAAAATTCATTACAATAAAACTCTTAATCTAGAGTTATGCACAAGGTATTTATTCACCTAAAGCAAAAATTGACCTTCGAAGTTAATTTGAATTTATTTAATAATAAATTGATCACTTATAAATTATTGAATTAGAGTATATGTAACATCATTAATGATATAATGATGGCTATTCTACCAATTAGATCAAGAATTGCACAATATAACATAATTAATTTTACATTATCAATATGATTTCAATTATAAATTTTTGATATTAGGAAATGAAAGATGTTATAAATTAATTATTTATATTTATTAAGATTTGAAAATGCAAATCTTTAAGTGTAAATATCTTACACATGAGAATGAATAAATAATAGGATTTTGCCTGAATGAGAAATGCGAGAAAGCCGCTGAATATTGTAATGAATGTTTTGATTTTACTCATTCATCACATTTCAATGATTGTATTAGATTCTCTAAAATTATCTAATTTATAATTGAATTCATTCAAGTTTGTAATCAATCAAAGAAATAATTTGAAGAAATCTCTGAGCAACTTTAGAATTGTTTAGAATAGATTTTATAAAAAATCAATTAGGATATCAAAATATTAGAAAATATGAACCAATAACTTTAGAACAAAGATTATTAGACTTTCAAATAATAAATTCATATAATCAAACATTTTTTCTAAAATGAAAAATAAAAGTACAAATGTATCTTTTTTAAAAATATAATAGGTTAATAAATATTAGAATTGAATAATATTTTTAAGACAATAAAAAATATTATATCATACTAAACTTAAGCGGATGTTAATACAGATTATTTAAAAGATATGGGAACGGTAGAGATAAAAAAGATGGATAATGAAAAAACAGTGGAGAATATTTAAGAAACTTAAAGAATATTAAATTAAGGTATCAATAATTGTATTAGATATAAGGTTAAACATTAAATGATTTAGAAAAATACTAAGAAGCTATCGAGTGTTACGATAAAGCTATTTAAATTAATTCCTAAAACGAAATTGCCTGGAATAACAAAGGTAATTATTTTAAAAGCATTATTATTTAGGGTCAGCATTAGACAGTTTAACGAAATACTAAGAGGCTATCGAGTGTTACGATAAAGCTACTTCAATTAATCCATAATATCATATAGCCTGGTGTAACAAAGGTATCTTTTCATAAGAATTATTATTTAGGTTCAGCCTTAAATGATTTATAGAAATACTAAGAGGCTATAGAGTGTTATGATAAGGCAATTTCAATAAATACCTAATGTTATAATGCCTGGAATAACAAGGGTAATTATTTCATAAAGCATTAATATTTAGGTTTTGTATTAAAGACTTTAAAAAAGTACAAAGAGGCTATAGAGTGTTACAATAAAGTTATTTCTATTAATCCTTAATGTGATGCTGCTTGGTATAACAAGGGTACTGAATTTATAAGCATTTTAATTAAGGTTTGGCATTAGACAGTTTAAAGAAATACTAAGAGGCTATTGAGTGCTACAATAAAGCGATTTTAATTGATCCTTAAAATGGTTTTGCCTGGTATAACAAGGGTAATTAATTTAAGAAGCATTTTTATCTAGGTTTTGCATTAGACAGTTTGAAGGAATACTAAGATGCTATTGAGTGTTACGATAACGCTATTTCAATTGATCCAAAAAATGGTTTTTTTTGGTATAATAAAGGTAATTAATTTAAAAACCATTTTCATTTAGGT